GGCAGGAGAATTGCCTGAACCCAGGAGGCGGAGGTTGCGGTGAGCCGAGATCGCGCCATTGCACTCCAGCCTGGGTAACAAGAGCGAAACTCCATCTCAAAAAAAAAAAATAAATAATAAAAATAATAAAAAAGAAGGCCGGGCGCGGTTGCGGTGGCTCATGCCTGTAGTCCCACCACTTTGGGAGGCCGAGGTGGGCGGATCACAAGGTCAGGAGTTCGAGACCAGCCTGGCCAGCATGATGAACCCTCATCTCTACTAAAAATACAAAAATTAGCTAGGCATGGTGGCGGGCGACTGTGTTCGGGAGTCTGTAACAGGAGAATCACTTGAACCCGGGAGACGGAGGTTGCAGTGAGCCGCGCTCCAGCCTGGGCGACAGAGCAAGACTCGGTCTCAAAAAAAAAATGAAAGAAAGAAAGACCCCTCCTCCGCCCGCCGGAAGTATCCCCTCTTTTGGGAAGGCGCGCCTCTGCGGCGCACGCGCACTCAGTTACTTAGCAACGTCGGCGCTAAACCCCCACCATCCGGAGCCCAGCAACAACAGAGCCGCTGTGTCCCTCACCAATCAGCGCCGGCTTCGCCGTCGCAGGCCTAACCAATCAGCGCCGGCGCAGCAAGGAAGTTTCCAGAGCTTTCGAGGAAGGTTTCTTTAACTCGAATTCATCCGCCTGATAATTTTCTTATATTTTCCTAAAGAAGGAAAAGAAGCGCATAGAAGGGAAGTGACATAATTTGTTAGAATCCTTTGTTACGACTATGAGGAATTTGGAGCTCAGTTGAAAAGCCTAACTGCGTCGCGGGAGGTTGGGCGCGGCGAACTACTTTTGGCGGCGCACGGAGACGGCGCCTACGTAAAAAGTGATAGGTGACGCAACATACGTTGCATAAATTTGAGCTCCGCCGAAAGGGAGCGTTTAGGGGCGAGAGGCTTTGTTGGGTGAAGGTGTCTTGGACTTCAGTGGCCGGACGTGATTGGCGATTCGCAGCATCGTCGTATCCGCTAACAGGTACTGGCCCACAGCCTTAACGACCTGGGGGAACATGAAGAGGGGGCATAGGTGAGGTCAAGCTGGAAGCTTCTTGGAGCTTGGTGGGCCGCTGAGGGGAGGGCGTGGGGGGAGGGGAGGGCGAGGTGACGCGGCGCCGGGCCTTTCCGGGAGAGTGGGCCTTGAGGAGAGGAGGGTGAGGGCGGCTGGCGGGCGCGCGCGCCGACGGAGACTAACGGACGCTTAACGGATGGCGATTCCGTCGCGTTTGCTTCAGCAGGGGAAGGCGGAAAAAAGGTAGTCTGTGTGGTTCTGGAAACCTTTACTTCGGGAATCCCAGTGTGAGAAAGGTGTCGTTTCTTGTGTTTCAACGTGATTTTTATTTCGCGAGTTTTCTGGGTTCGGTTTTGTTTTCGGTTTACTGAACACCATGCTTACGTTTGAGGCATATTGGAGTTCGGTCGGGGGAGTTTGAATATCCGGAACAGTAAGTGGAGAAAGCTGTCGATGCTTGTTTAGAGAGCGTTTTGGATTCTCCGCTGTTGACGTTGTAACCTTGAGGGTCGAATTTCATATTAAGTGACTAAGTCTCGTAAAGATAGGGGGAGGTTTTACAAGATGTTAACGTATTTTAAAACATTTTGGAGGAACAGTTACTAACTTTGAAGAACATTAGATGTAAAAGCAAGAAATACAAAGATGATGATATGCTTATGTTTTATTTTAAGCTAGGTCAAAATGCAGATCTTCGTGAAGACCCTGACCGGCAAGACCATCACCCTGGAGGTGGAGCCCAGTGACACCATCGAAAATGTGAAGGCCAAGATCCAGGATAAGGAAGGCATCCCCCCCGACCA